CAAATGGAAGTAACTTTCCAGTGTATTGCCTTATATTTTGGATATTTTATTAGGAAAACTGTGTGCCATGATCCTGCCTCCATTTTACATTTCACAGCATATTTGTGAATAATACAGAATGAGAATGAAACAGATGGAATATACAATGGCATGAAGAAGTAATTAAAGATGATGTGAAAATCAGAAGGATGGTGTGTAGAATTGAAACTGCTTCTGGACATGCAAGTCTCAGTTATCATGCTAATAGCCTACTGGTAAACCTGTCTACCATAGTGTTTTTAAAGTATTTTCAAAGAAAACTTAAAGTCAGTACATACTTTAGGAAAGTTAAGCCTTGGCCAGAACCTTGGGTGAGAGTGACCACATCATATTGGAATTCAATATAATGCAAATATAAGCAATAGAATATAATCCAACCAGTGCCTTGAAGTTTAAAAGAGCTGATTTTAACAAACTCAGAGAGAGCCTAAGATAAATTCCATGGATAAAAATCCTAAAGGGAAAAGCAACTCAAGAAGCTTGAGAAACACTGAAAAATATGATCATAAAAGCCCAGTCCAACACAATACCACTGAAAAAGATAAACAAGAAATCCAAGAAGAAACCAGCATGGTTGCACAAAGATCTCTCTGATAAACTGAAAGACAAAAAGGATAAGTACAAAAAATGGAAAGAGGAACACATAACTAAGGCAGAATATCAGCAGATAGCCTGAATCTGGAAAGATAGAAGTCAGGAAAGGAAAGACTCAGAATGAATACAGACTTGCAACAAAAGTCAAAGATAATAAAAAAAGTTTCTTTCAACATATAAACAACAACAAAAAAGTCAAGGAAGCAGTTAGTCCACTAAACAGAGAAAATGGCAAGGAAGTAACAGGTAGTAGAGAGAAAGAAGAGCTGCTTAACTCATTCTTTGCATCAATCTTCATGCAAAAAGAAACTATAACTCAACCTACCAAAAACATAATTGTAAAAGACAGACTAGAAATAAAAATTAAAATAAGCAAGAAAATGGTAGGAGTACACCTGTCTGGCCTGGATGAATATAAATCACCAGGACCTGATGGATTACATCCCAGAGTTCTGACAGAGCTGGAAGACATTATCTCAGAACCATTGTACCATATCTTTAAAAAATCCTGGGGTACCGGGGAACTACCAGAAGATTGGAAAAGAGCTGATATGGTGCCCATCTTCAAAAAGGGGGGGAAAGAGACCTGGGGGGGGGAAGAGACCCAGGAAACTATAGACCAATCAGCATAACATCAATATCTGGGAAGATACTGGAATAGTATAGTACAGTACAGTACAGTATAGTACAGTACAGTACAGTACAGTACAGTACAGTACAGTATAGTATAGTATAGTATAGTATAGTATAGTATAGTATAGTATAGTATAGTATAGTATAGTATAGTATAGTACAGTATTAAAAAAACAGATCTGTGAACATCTGGAAACAAAGTTATAACTAGTAGCCAGCACAGGTTTGCTAAAAATAGATCATGCCAAACCAATCATATTTCATTCTTTGACAAAGTGACAAAATTAGTAGACCAGCGAATATACTTAGTATAGTAGGGAGTTCAGACAGATCGGTCTGATTGTGAACACCTTGACATTTTCAACTGCCATACTGCAGTTTTACTCTTTTTACAATATCTCTTGCCTTGCCGCCCCCAACTAGGGGCATAGAGCAGGCTCAAGTCGCAACTGCGAAATATTTTTATATCCAAATTTCTTTTTTCTGACAGAGAGTAAAGAATTAAATTGGGAGACTAAGATGGACCATTTCTGGCTTTTTTGCCTTCATCAGTTAGCCATACCCTTTTTATGTAAGTATAGTATACTTAGACTTCAGCAAGGCATTTGACAAAGTAGATCACAACCTACTTCTTGGTAAACTAAAAAAATGTGTGATAGACAGCATCACCACCAGATGGATTTGTAACTGGCTTGACAAACCATACTCAACAAGCAGTCCTTAATATTCCGTCTTAGGCCTAGTAGTCTTCAGTACTCTTCAATATCTGCATAAATGACTTAGATAAGGGAATAGAAGGGGAACATATCAAATTTGCAGATGACACTAAGCTAGCACGAATAGAAGACAAGCTAGGATCCAAAAAGACCTTGACAGACTTGAAAAATGGGCCCTATTCAACAAAATGATATTTAATGTAGAGAAAAGCAAGATTGTACACCTAGGCAGGAAAAACCAAAGGTACAAGTACAGATTAGGCAAAACCTGGCTCCAAAACCATAACTGTAAGAGGGACCTTGGAGTTCTAGTGGATTATCACTTAAACATGAGCCAGTAGCCAAAACACTAATACAATTCTTAGTTGTATAAACAGAGGCATAGAATCAAAATCACATGAAGTATTAATACCGCTTTATAAATCCTTAGTAAGATCATACCTGGAATATTGCATCCAGTTTTGGTCACCACATTACAAAAAAGATGTTGAGACTTTGGAAAAAGTGCAAAGAAGGGCCTGGAGAAAAAAACATATGAAGAACGGTTGCAGGAATTGGGTATGACCAGTCTAGAGAAAAGCAGGACTAGGGGTGACATGATAACAGTATTTGAGGGGCTAAGAAGAGAGGGTCAACTTATTTTCCAAAGCACCAGAAGGGAAGACAAGACACCATAGATCAGTGGTTCTCAACCTGTGGGTCGGGACCCCATTTGGGGTCAATCGACCATTTCATGGGGGTCGCCAAGCAAGGCTGTCCGCCATTTTTTTTGTCTGCCATTTTTTCCCCTTTTCCGGCGGGTGCCTTACCTCCCTTGGGCTGGGCCAGCTGATGGTTGGCCTGCTCCGTCTCTGCCGCTTGCCAGCTACGCCTCGGCCGGCGCAGGGGGCGGAACCACGCATGCGCGGGGCTCCCGGGCAGGGAAAGTCCTCGACTTACGACCGGTTGGGTAGTCCTCGACTTACAACCGGTTTAGTCCTCGACTTACGACCAGTTTAGTCCTCGACTTACGACCAGTTGGGGTCGCGGCATTAAAAAGGTTGAGAACCACTGCCATAGATGGAAACTAATCAAGGAGAGAAGCAATCTGGACTTAAGGATAAACTTCCTAACGGTGAGAAAAAATAATCAGTGGAACAGCTTGCCTTCGAAACTTGTAGGCACTTCATCACTGGAGGTTTTTAAGAAAAGATTAGACAACCATCTATCTGAAATGGTATAGGGTCTCCTGCTTGAGCAAGGGGTTAGAGTAGAAGACCTCCAAGGTTCCTTTCAGGTCTATTCTGATTGATAAATTGATAATACATTTTATTCAATTCAATTTTTATTATTACAGCCAAAGGCCAACACATAAATTAAACATTTAAATAAAACAAAACTAAACAGAACCAACACAAGAAGACATAGCAATATATTACAATTAATGATGTAATCAATGGGTGACCAAGGTCTGCCTAGTTTTACAGACAGTATAACAAAACCTAGCCACCTTCAGAAAAACTAAATCATACTGACCTGACAATAAAAATACATTGAGTATAATCTAATGCTGGATAAAAGCACGTAATAAAATTAATTATAAAAGATTATTAAAAAGATCTAAAAAATACATTTTATGTGAACAAATACTTTTTATCTGTCCTTAATCTGTTCCAAATCATTTGGCTCTATTATTATAAGATCTATTATTATAAGATTGGGAAAGATTATTTCAACGTTCACAGTTTTATTAGCTTCTTTCTTTCTTTCTTTCTTTCTTTCTTTCTTTCTTTCTTTCTTTCTTTCTTTCTTTGTTTATTTATTTATTTATTTATTTATTTATTTATTATTTTAGTTAACATGATTCTCTATATTAACAATTTATTTATTTGCTTTTGTTTGTTTGTTTGTTTGTTTATTTATTTATTTATTTATTTGCTTATTTACTTATTTATTGGAAAGGTATTAAATTCCTACAGTCATTTTATATTGTGTATGTTGCAGTTAATGGAGGAAAGTAGCTGAGCCCCTGCTGATTGGACCTCCATTGCATTTAAACTGCCCAGAGGTTGTGGGGAAGAGCTACAATCTGTGGGTTAAGAAGGAGGAGGGTGGAGGAGGAAAGTAGAATCATATAACTAAAAATCAAAAACAGCAGCAGTACATTCAGGGCAAGTGTGTCTGAGATTCCTTTCATCTCAGAATGTCTGGCTTAGTTCAATGCAACACTTGTTTTGCAGCTGTCTTTCGCAGTACTCTTTTCAAACTTGGAAACTGTCCTATTTGTAAACAAATCACTAGTCTACAAGGATAGATTATTTATCTAGGGTCTGTAATCTGTGCTCTTCAGACAGAAATTAGGTGTCCAGTCAGCCTTTCTACTCTATTGAGCCTCCACGCTATCA